CCAGAAATGGAGGACGGAAACGAAGGAACCACGACCTACGACAAGGGATATGATAGGGCAAGAAGGATGGCAGATATTCTGGCGCTTTCTAACTGTAACAAAATGTTACAGCAAAATTGAATCATAAACAGGGAACTTGAATGTCAGCTGTATTGCTTCTTAGGGCCGCTCAGTGTGGCACGAGGATGGAGGTGTAGTGCAGGGCGCTAGCACCTCAGAAAAGGTGTTTTTTCTTTTTATTTGTTTTGTTTCTGTATTTCTGGCTCCTATGAACCAATCATGTAGGTAGCGAAGAGTCTTATATAGATCTGGACTACCCGTGCCATGCCCCCTGGGTGCTGGGTCAGTACCCGGTCACGATAAAAATATCATCATCACTTCAACTGACCCGATCATGTCAGTATCGGGCTTAGTGACGGCAGGGAGGGCTTTTTCCTTCCCTTTAGTCGTGATCTTGCTTATCTCCGCTCATTTCGAAGACCTGGCAAGGCCAGATAGTTTTTCGAGAAGGAGGCATGGTGAAAATGCCTGAGCTCGGTCACAATTCCAAGATATACGCGATGAGATTGAGGGGGTTGGAAAAAGGGAACAAGGGATTTTTCGAATTTTTCGAATGGTGCAGAATGAGAGATTGGTTATTGATATAGGAAAAATGGCATAGCTACTCAGGCGGGAGCAGACCAAGCTGCGCTGCGTACTGGCTACGTGATCGATCTACAGGCAGATTAGTCAGGGGGACAAAAGACGAGCTTCCCCCAGCTGCAATATAACAATAAGCTAATGATTCAATAAAAATAAAAATAAAAATAAAAATAAAAATAAAAATAAAAATAAAAATAAAAATAAAAATAAAAATAAAAATAAAAATAAAAATAAAAATAAAAATAAAAATAAAAATAAAAATAAAAATAAAAATAAAAATAAAAATAAAATAAAAATAAAAATAAAAATAAAAATAAAAATAAAAATAAAAATAAAAATAAAATAAAAATAAAAATAAAAATAAAAATAAAAATAAAAATAAAAATAAAAATAAAAATAAAAATAAAAATAAAAATAAAATAAAAATAAAAATAAAAATAAAAATAAAAATAAAAATAAAAATAAAATAAAAATAAAAATAAAAATAAAAATAAAAATAAAAATAAAAATAAAAATAAAAATAAAAATAAAAATAAAAATAAAAATAAAAATAAAAATAAAAATAAAAATAAAAATAAAAATAAAATAAAAATAAAAATAAAATAAAAATAAAAATAAAATAAAAATAAAAATAAAAATAAAAATAAAAATAAAAATAAAAATAAAAATAAAAATAAAAATAAAAATAAAAATAAAAATAAAAATAAAAATAAAAATAAAAATAAAAATAAAAATAAAAATAAAAATAAAAATAAAATAAAATAAAAATAAAAATAAAATAAAAATAAAAATAAAAATAAAAATAAAAATAAAATAAAATAAAAATAAAATAAAATAAAATAAAAATAAAAATAAAAATAAAAATAAAAATAAAAATAAAAATAAAAATAAAAATAAAATAAAAATAAAAATAAAAATAAAAATAAAAATAAAAATAAAAATAAAAATAAAAATAAAAATAAACGTCGATGAACCTTGGTTCGTTCAAAGGAGAACAGTTTCCGACAAGTACTGGGATTCCCCAAGGCTCTTCTCTTTCGCCAATTCTCTTCCTGTTCTTCGTCAGCACGCTTCTTCCCGAACTTCAATCGCCGTCATCGACGGCTGTAGGATTCGTGGATGATACTAACATACTGACTTGGTCAAATTCTACAGAAGAAAATTGCCGAAATCTCGAAAGGCTCCATGGGATTTGTGAAAAGTGGGCTGACCGACATGGTGTCAAATTTGCTCCGGAGAAGTACCAGTTAATGCACTTCTCAAGAGCTCGAAAGAAGCACAACATGCAGGCCACAGTCCGAATCCAAGGCCATATCGCCCATCCGCAACCTTCTCTTCGTGTCCTAGGCATCCACCTCGACCCGAAACTTAACTGGGGTGCTCATGTCAAAAGCATACAGCTCAAAGTCGAACCACAAATCCAAGCCCTAGGTAGATTGGCACAATCAACCTGGGGTGCAACGTTCCACAAAGCAAAACTTGTGTACAATGCAGTGGTGAGACCAGCTATCACCTACGGAGCCCCCATTTGGGCTGAGCCCGGAATAGCCGGCAAAATTCCCGAAAGAGTGATAAAGCCACTTCGAAGTATCCAAAGAAGGTGCCTCAAGATCGTCACGGGAGCGTACAATTCGACCAGCAGCAAGGTACTTGAGCATGAAACCTCTACCTTGCCGATGGAAATCTATCTAAAACAAAGGAGGGTCCAACACGCCGGACTATCAAAAAGCCTACCTGTTCAAGATACTATATTGTCAGCATGCAGGAAGATAAAGCAACCCCGAGCTGGAAGGCAAGACGCACGAGCTGTCACGAGGACCTTGGATATTGCAGAGTGGGGTCAAACATGTGAGAATATAGAGACGAAAGTGGGACAGAAAGCGGCTGGGAAGGTTGCAGCTTTTAGAGAATGGGAACGATCCTGGACGAGACTAACAGCCAGGCAAACTACTAACCACCACGCCACAGCAGATCCCAAAATCTGGAAAGCAGTAAACCTTTTTACAGATGAAAAGACGGGAAAGACAGGAATGAGCCAAAGAGGAACACCTTCTAGTATCCATAACCACCTTAACAGGGCCCAGAGCAGCATAGCTATACAGATAAGAAGCGAACACATTGGGTTCAATTCCTATCTGCACAGAAGAAAAGTTCCGGGAGTAGACAGTTCACGATGCCAATGTGGATATCCGTCCCAAAATGTGAAGCATATGGTCATGGCCTGCACCAGCTGGGCCAAAGGAAGAGGAGAAATACTGAGAAAGGCAGAGAACCGGTCATTTGAGGCCATGATGAACAATCCCACAGATATTGCAAGGATAACTAGATGGATCCAGCAGGAAGGGAGGCTAGAGCAGTTTCGACTGACGCTTGAAGTCGAAGCCATGATGAGTGACAGAGAGGGCAGTAGGGGAGAGGTGATCTCCTGCCATAAATAAGGGAGTGGACGGTATCCACACTGGATAAAACAGTATTAGTGCACTTCGCGAAGGTAACACAAACTTAAAGTGTATATAAATTGAGAAGTTGAGGGGGTTTTTACCATAAAGGTTTCCTCCTATATAAATATTAGAGTTCGTAGACACCTGCATGGGCCATAAGGCGCCAAAACGGGCTAAATGAAATCAAATTCAAAAATAAAATAAATAAAATAAAAATAAAAATAAAAATAAAAATAAAAATAAAATAAAAATAAAAATAAAAATAAAATAAAATAAAAATATAAAATAAAAATAAAATAAAAATAAAAATAAAAATAAAAATAAAAATAAAAATAAAAATAAAATAAAAATAAAAATAAAAATAAAAATAAAAATAAAATAAAAATAAAAATAAAAATAAAAATAAAAATAAAATAAAAATAAAAATAAAAATAAAAATAAAAATAAAAATAAAAATAAAAATAAAAATAAAAATAAAAATAAAAATAAAAATAAAAATAAAAATAAAAATAAAAATAAAAATAAAAATAAAAATAAAAATAAAAATAAAAATAAAAATAAAAATAAAAATAAAATAAAAATAAAAATAAAAATAAAAATAAAAATAAAAATAAAAATAAAAATAAAAATAAAAATAAAAATATTAACCTGATAAACACCTTAACAGGGCCCAGAGCAGCATAGCTATACAGATAAGAAGCGAACACATTGGGTTCAATTCCTATCTGCACAGAAGAAAAGTTACAGGAGTTGACAGTTCACGATGCCAATGTGGATATCCGTCCCAAAATGTGAAGCATATGGTCATGGCCTGCACCAGCTGGGCCAAAGGAAGAGGAGAAATACTGAGAAAGGCAGAGAACCGGTCATTTGAGGCCATGATGAACAATCCCACAGACATTGCAAAGATAACTAGATGGATCCAGCAGGAAGGAAGGCTAGAGCAGTTTCGACTGACGCTTGAAGTTGAAGCCAAGATGAGTGAGAGAGAGGTCAGCAAGGAGAATTGGTCTCTTGCCACAAATAAGGGAGTGGACGGTATCCGCACTGGATAAAACAGTATTAGTGCACTTCGCGAAGGTAACACAAACTTAAAGTGTATATAAATTGAGAAGTTGAGGGGGTTTTTACCATAAAGGTTTCCTCCTATATAAATATTAGAGTTCGTAGACACCTGCATGGGCCTTAAGGCGCCAAATCGGGCTAAATGAAATCAAATTCAAAAAAGCTTAGTAACCTGAATTTTTCATATCAATACAGATATTTCTGCATAAAGCATCTTAGCTGTTCCAGCGCAAAATTATATTCTCACATCATATACCGATCATAGTAGTTATGGCCTGAATAATTCATCCTGAGTCAGATTACTAAACAAACTAGCTGACTACCCAATTTTAGTGACAGAGATTAGTTACCATACCTTCTCCAAGACCAGCGTAATAAAAGTATACCTCGATAAATAATTAATACAGGCTTTCGGAAACAGTCAAGACTTAAGGGTCAAAGAAGCGCCCGTGTATTATTTTCCAGACTAATAATCTGAGGAGATTAACACTCTAAATCAGATGCCATCGTGCAGTAGATGGTTCAAGGACGAATCGGAGATTGTATTAACGGCCTGTTCAGATCATGAGAAACGGAAGACACGGCTTACCCAGATCTTTCACTTGGCAATTTGTATTGTTCTCTTTTTCTCGGTTACAATCTGCGTAGATATCTTGTTGCCACACAGCATCAAATTCTACATCTCGGAGATTTTTTAACCTTCATTGTGAACCTCACTTCTCAGCTTTGAAAATCACAAGTTTTACCCTTAGTAAAGCTCGGCGTATCTCTCTATCTATTCTCGCTACTATGACTCCACTTTCTCTGTATTCCTAACATGCGAGTACGAGCCGTAACAGTTACTGCATCTGCTTAATCCTGTGATTGACGAGTACACGGCGCCCATGTTTCTCCGTTCCATTCCCGCACATCGGGTTTGGGATCATCTGTGTCAATAAAACAACGATATTCTGTTTTGACTTTTTGTCACAATTAATGTCAGTTCTGTGGAAACTCAGGGTTGTATGAATGGACTAACTTTCAGTAAAATGACGTCTGGGAGAGATTTTGAAGTATTTGTAGCTTTTATTTGTACCATCTTCAAGTGTGGATGTAAATGATTTAAATTGTCGGGTCCATATTTCCATTTGTGCCGCCACGTCAGACCCGTCAATCAAGACCCCAGAACAGTCATACATCACAGCAAGTGCTGGCGTTACAACGCCCAAGAGCGCAATAGCGAGATGTGGAAGAATTAATTTCATTACGAAGCTAATTATCTGCTTAGCTGTTAGTTGTATCTAGACGGGACTGTTTTCTGAATCGACCCACAAGGCTCTTCAAGTGTCGCAGTGGCTCGGGTCAATAAGTCAGAGACCTAAACGGTGATAATTTATGCTTTTAATATTGGAAAGTATGAAGGAACTGATGTTTTAATGATGAGAGAGCCGCGCAAGTCCTTTTCACGGATGAAGACTTGTTGACAATGTGGCCAAGCATACAGTAATTATATCTTATAGAACAGGACAGACTTGGCCACTTATGGAGTACCGCAAAGGTCTCAAGTCAGTTAAATGAGTAAGTGAGTGAGTGATGTTTATTGTACTACTTGAGTCTATGACAATCTAGCACATTGGGCTCCTTTCTGACCCAGGCCACACCTTTTACAGTGCTCCTTAGCTCTTTTGTTACTCGAAAGATAATTGATATATTACCCGTGACGAATAGCCGTTTAGCTCAGTGTTTACCCGTGGAATTCGGCCACCTTTTCCACGGAACCTTCTACCCAAGAAGAATAAGTTAAATGAGTAAGGATGCCTCAAAAAACGGAGGAAGCTGAGAGATCCTGTGGACGACATGGATCTCAGAGGCTTCATCCTTTTGCGGTAGATGGACATTGGCGCGGGTGCAAGCATGACTTGGCTTGGCTTGGGTAAACTATCGACACTTATTCAATGACTTACTTGTCCCGGAAGTTGTAGTTGACAATGCTGCGAGATCGAGCAGACATCAAAGTGCGTCTATTTTAATTCAGATATAACTATTGTAGACCTGCCTATATTACGAGTCTAGCTTTCCCGCCAACAACTGCAAAGCTAGCTGCTCCGTTCAGACTAGCCCCCATAGTAATCTTAAACATTCTAATCTCCGGTCTATATGGTGAGCAGTAGCTTTATATTAAGTGATCCGTTTTGAGGGGAATTAATGATAAATTGAAGCAATTACCAACCTCAAGCCATTAGACCCACATATAAGTGCATGGATGCGTTGTATGTTTGTTATTAAGCATGCTACATTTTTCATTATACTATCGTTTCTCCTCATTTTACAACTACTTAACACAGATAGGTCGCCGGCAAAGACGAATTCTTCATCTTCCAGTGGTGCCGGTGTAATCGCTTAGTATGCTCTGCATGTCTGGGATAGCCAAGAAGAATCGCATCCGAATCGAAGTCGAAAGCAACCTCATACACATCTCCATTTGACAACTTCTCGATAATGCCTCTCTCATCATTATCATCTGAGTCCTCAACCCATCTCTAACCACGGATCATCTCGCCTCAACGACCAATAAAGAAGTTGCTCTAATTGCATACAGGAGCTTGCCCCATTAATTTCCAGCCATCTCTCACTACAAATTTACGATGCTATTTATACCCACAAGGAGGAAATCAAGTCGAAAAATACAAAGCCTGGGTCTTGGCTTGTGGGAGACTGTTGCTCTAATGGGACAAACAACTTGAGGAAGAACAGGCGGCTGAGATGTGGAGCGAGAGGGGGAACAGGTCTCTGAAGAGCCTGCTGGGACTGATATTTTCGAGGAGCTTTCAAATTTGGATATTTTGTGGGCACCTGGACGGTACAAAAGAAGTTGGGCTAAGCTACTATACAGCAATCACGCTCTGTCAAGACTTTTCTGACATTTCAGCACGACCTTCGGGATGGAGTTGGAAGGAGACTAGAAAGGCAGAGGGTGAATTTCCTGAGGTACCCACAAGTCTGCAGCGCCAAGCTGGCCGGCCTCTTCGAACACTTCAGAAGGATCACTATGTCTTCGGATTTAGTCCTAATGTCGGTATTAGGGGAGCTCCGCACTCAGTGGTTTTTGCAATTTTTCCCGGCTGCCATACACCCGCAAATGGCCATCGTTTTGTTGGCTGGAGAAGGGAGATAATGAAGGGCTAAGAGCTCCTCTAAGTGTATGATCGAATGAGGACTTGTGAGGGGTGGTACTGTTTGAGGGGAGCTGTATGGGAGGCGTAGGAAGGGATATTCTTCTGGTATAGGTATCCTTGGTCTGTAGGCAGAGAGGACCTGCGTGTCCTACATAGTCATAGACTCAGACAGTACAATAAGATGAATTAAATAAAAACACAAATAGGTCCTCTCTGCCTACGGGCCAGAGATACCATACGAGAAGTGTATTACATCCTTAACATTCACAAAAACTCCCCTCAGACAATGCTATGCCCCGCAATTTCTCCTTTCAACATACACTTTGAGAGCCTTTTTTTTATGGGCTTGGCCTGGTTGGTTATGGCTGAGCTGTTTAAGTTTGAAGGGCCCATCCTTACCTCGTATGCACAAGTGAGTCGGTTTACAAACTCACTGTATAGGAGTTGTTTCAGATCACGTGTCAAGGGCCAGGGGATCTGAAACAGGCATTGAAGTTATAAATCATTTATCCATTTATGTCCTATTTGAGTTTTCAACTATGTATGACAGACTCTTTGTATTCAATTTTTCTTTTCCATTCTATTTGGGGGGTTTCCTTAATTTGATGTTGGTGTGGTAACAAAACAACTATCTCGGTGGGGGGATGTCAGTACGACATTAGTAAGCGAGGCTACCTCTTCAGCCTTGTAGTATCTCCTAAAAGACAGTAGTTAGATTTACAAACTTACCTGAATACTCAGTACTGTTTAATGTGCCCTGTGAAACTGTCACAGGATTGGGACTTCGATGTTTTCTCAAAGAGAAGGGAAAGAGGAAAATGATTGATTGTCCTATCTTCCATGATCTCACTTCTGTTTAAATACATGTTCGCTCGTCTTCCTTCAGTCAGTTCCCATAGTCCAGAACACGTAATCTCATCATCTAGTCTCACAAACAGAGTGTGTTATCTAATTTTAAACACAAGGTAAAAACATGATGAGCGCTTAATATGGTAAACAGGTAAATGTAGGCGCAGCTAATCATGGTACAAAATACCAGAGTTATGTAACGCACGGTTGATTGCGCGTGCTTCCTTCTCAGGCTTATTCAGCCTCATATACAGGTCTATTAATTCGACAGAAACCTACAGTTGGGATCCACATTGAAATTTTAAAGAGCCGTAGCTTCCAGTTTCTAAGTCCCTCATAGAAAACATAGACATTTAATTGTGGCACTGCTCTCGTGCATTGGCCAAAAGTCCTAGCCCGTCACACCTTTGCCCTAAATTATCTAACCCTTCAGCTATCCAAACCATGACTGCTTGCGGGTAAACGATGGCCAGGAAAATTTGCAAAAGCTACTGGGTGCAGGCCTCTTTTATTACCAATATTGGGACTAGATCCAAGGCCATAGTGGCCCTTCTGAAGCTTTCCAAGAGCCCGACCAGCCGGGCGCGGCACACCTATTGGTACCTCGGGAACTTCACACTCTATCTTTTCATCCTCCGTCTAACCCTTCAGGCGCTGTGTTTTCGGTGTTCTCTAGGCTACGAGTATGGTGGAGGTGTGGAGTGCAGTGATAATTGTTGTAATTCTAACAGTTCTGCATCTATTCCACTAGTCATGTACTACCACTTTTTCGTTTCCGTTATTCGTATCATTTAATACTGCGCCACATCTATTTTTTGTAATGTTAATTACTCTTGGCGCTTAACACGAGATATGTTGGAAATTATGGTATATGCATGATTGTGCTTTACACTCAGCTAGCTTAGGGATCTGGATACTGGTGGGTGATGTGGAGACGGTTATCGCTCGGGACTCACGATATCAGGTTCACAGGGTGATCAATATCGAAGTCTAAATTAAGCAGAAGGTTGTCTAGCCTTTTCTCTATCGACTATTATGCTCTCTATATACATCCTATGCTATTGCCCTAAGCGGCGATCCGGTCTTCTCCAATTAGTACCTCGTCTCCAGCTCCCGATTATTTGCGCTTCTGGATCCTCAGGGGTCTACTGGTGGTCAAGGTATACCTTCACCATGATAACGTCGCCATACTGGGACATGTTATTATGATTTATGAGCACTTGACAGTGGTTGGGAGTGGACCTAGAGACAGTATGATAGTTGATGTCACAGGCAATCTATGTGAGATGACTTAGGAATGGGTTTCATGTTTGTGACGGCTTGTGAGCCGATAAGTCCTGTAGCCTTCGATGACTATAGAAGGCAACCTTTAGTCAGTTTCATTGCCACTGTAAACGTAGGCTAGATTTAGATACCTCTGGATGTATATAAGTAGTACGGGAGACTTGCAGATAGTTTGCTTCTCTATAGATGAATTATAGTTATATATTTCAATCATACAAATGCCCATTTGCTTCCTAATTCGAACTGTGACATCTATCAACACATGGGAAGTCACATGCTATGGCCAAGTGCATCCTTATATAATAACATGTGACTTTTTAAATATCCAATCACAGTTACAGATATTTATTTACAAGCTCGACCAGGTTTAAAGGCAACTACGCGTGATAAATCTCAACTCTTGTTCTCTTGACGCCGTCTTTAGTGTCAGATCTTACTGTCGGTATATCACCGGTAGATTATTGTGCTAGCACGAGAGGTTTGAAACAGGTACGAAAAAGTGTGTATATGTGTTCTCTCTCAATTACCTTCCTGCCAAATAGCAGTTCCCCAGCACTTCGCTAATTAAATCACATGACTTAAGTCTCTATCTACGTAATCAAAGCCAATATTCATACACTGAAAACTCTTTAAAGTGATGTTTTTAACCAATAAGAACTTTGGTCTGGCCGGTTGCCATACTCCTCGATTCTACTTTCGCTCGACCCACCCTTCTTTGTCAGGCCCAGTAAGGAAATCTGCTGATCCTAAGTTAGTTCCAGCGTCTATTAGATGTACAGCCGGTCCGTCTTCTAGATGCATTACGTCGACGTAGACTGTATGATTGAATGGAACATCTTTATTAGTGAGGGTAAATTTGAATCGTAGAGGCCGATGAGCGTTTAGCTGACAGTCATTGCAAAATTTGGATATCCGGTCAATGATTTTTATGTCAATGTCATGACCAGCTTGCCGAA